TGGTTGAGTTTTGGTCCTCTTCATAACAGTGACAACAACACATATAATAGAGAACAAAGCAACAGTAATCAATGCAGTTATTATCAGCAGCAGGCGTGCATTTATCTTCTTTTTTGTTGCTGGGGTGGTGGGGCAAATGGGCAGTCCAAATATGGCAATAACTGCACATAACCCTGTGTTGCCTTGCAGGAATACTGCAGTTGAATTTCCAAATATGCCACCAGTCGGGATTGGCCCTTCCAATTTGTTGTATGATATATTAATATAATTTAAGCTGCTGAAGTTCCCAAAATACTGTGGAACTTGACCAATTAAATTGTTCTCGGACAGATCTATCTGCTGTATGACCTTCAGTGCACTGAAAGACTGAGGAATATACCCGCTGAGCATGTTGCGTTCTATTTGAAGGGATAGCAGTTGAACACACTGGCCAAGTTCATAAGGAAGGCCACCAGATAATTTGTTATTGGAAATATTTAGGAGGCCAAGATTGATCAGGTTACCAACTTCCTGTGGTATAGGCCCAGTCAGGTGGTTGTTTGACAAGTCCAAACCCAATGAAAGGGAAGAAATACCAAAGAGTTCTATTGGTATGGATCCATCAAGGCGGTTAACTGACATGTTCAGCATAGCAAGCCTTTTGCACTGTCCTATATTTGCTGGTATGTTTCCAGACAATTCATTGCCATCAAGATCAAGCTGGTTGAGTTGAACAAGATTACCAACTGTTGATGGAATCTGACGTGACAACCTATTCATGGAAAGTTTTAGGACAACCAAGTTTCTCAAGTTCCAAACTGTCAGGGGAATTGGTCCAGAGAGCATGTTCTGGCCCATGTCAAGCAGAGTGAGACTTACAAGCTTGCCTATCTCAGCTGGTATGTTTCCAGAAATTTGGTTTCTTCCAAAGCTTAACCGCTGAAGCTTTGTTGAAAGTTTGCCTACTGCTTTTGGCAAACTTCCATTCAGGATATTTCCATCCATTGATAATATTAACAACTGAGTGCAATTGGTCAGAGAGGTAAGGAAGGCCCAGTCGCCAGCTTCGAGTTTATTATTACGTAAAATCAGTTGACTCATGTCTGCCAAGGATCCTAGGGATGGCACCATGCCAGTCAGCAAGTTGCTTGAAAGATCAAGCACTTGGAGCTTTGACATGTTGGTCAGAGAATCTGGGATTGGTCCACGAAATCCGTTGCCTCCCATTACCAATGTTTGAAGATTTGGAAGTGAGTGGCCAATTTCAGAAGGTATGTGTCCAATAAAATTGTTGGTGCCTAAGCTAAAGAGTGTGAGTGATGACACATTGTACAGTGTAACTGGGACATACCCCGTGAACATGTTATTACTTAGATCTAGCACTGTTAGGTTTGGAATTTGACCCAAAGTTTCTGGAACTGATCCTGCTAAGTTGTTTTGTGCTAGCAGGAGGGAACGCAATGATGAAACATTGCCCAAAGATGCTGGTATAGTACCAGAAAGTGAATTCCCTGTAAGATTAAGAAATTGCAGAGCATCCATCTTTTGGAAATGTGGGATAGGCCCGGAGAGAGCATTCGACCGGAGGTCAACAGCAACAAGTTTGGATGAGTTGAATAAATTAGCTGGGATCACCCCAGATATGTTATTACGTGAGAGGATTATCTCACTGAGTGACAAACTATTTGCTAAGGAATCAGGGATAGCTCCACTAAGAGAATTGTTTGCAAGGTTGACATATCTAAGAGATGCAGCTGTACCTAATGACAGAGGGATGTTACCTGAAAGCCTGTTGCCAGCAAGCATCAGGGTTTGGAGGCTCCGAAGCTCACCTATGTCTTCAGGTACGCTTCCAGATAACTTATTATTCCAAAGGTTCAACTGAAATAGAGAAGTAAGGGCAGCTGTACAGCTGGATAGTGTTCCTGTGAGCTGAGCAGACCTCAATTGGAGGGACACGACACGGATCGGGAGGGTGGTGCTGCAGTTGACCCCTCGCCAGCTGCAGAAGTTAAGCGAGTCATTGCGCCATGATCCAAGAACACCGGCAGGGTCCTTGGAGATGCCAGCTTTGAAGCAGAGAAGGGCTTGCCGGTCATCTTCGGTTTTGTTGGTAGCCTGTGCCGATGAGAATATGATTGTGTTGGAGGATAGAAATATGAGGATGGTGCAAAGAAGGAAGAGTGCATGGTGGGGAATCAGAGATTGGGTGCGGAAAACTTGAGGAGACATGTCTCTCTTCTTGTCCTAATGGAGTGTGCTTATTAAAATATTTGTGTGTGTGTGTGTGTGCGTGTGTGCTTAGATATATGTGGAAGTGAGGGTAGGGAAGTTGAAACTTCTATACTTTGACTTGAGCGTGTCTTGGTTAGCTTGGTAGTAGCTCACGCCGCCGGATGATTGAAAAATAGCCTGAGCAGGAAGGAACTTGTGAGAAAACGTGTGCATAAACCAGTCTATAGAAGTACAAATACTATTCTCTGCTTGCTATACAACCTACAGCTTCTAACGGAGTGTGTTTGTTAAATATTGTGTGTGTGTATGTGTGTGTGTGTGTGTGTGCTCAGATATATGTTAGAGGAATAGGGGAGTTGAAACTTCTTCTTGACTTCAGTGCCACTTATTTATGACTGAAAAAGGCCTGAGCACAAAAGGAACTTGTGAGAGGTCTATGTGGATGAAGAAAATGTGTGCTTGAACCAGTCTATCAAAGTAGAAATACTATTCTCTGCTTACTATACAACCTACAGCTTCTGCAACCCAAAATCCACACAATCATGGAAACATTGACTGGGATGAATAGTAGAAAAGGGGAGCATCAGTTACCATTATTTCTTTGCCACCATCAAGTAACACAGAATAAATATTTGCATACAGTTGGCTCTGTGGTTGAGGAAGTATCCTACTGTAAAGCCCAAGCAGAGTTTTTGCTTGAGTCTGCAAAGTGCCAATTCAGTCATCAAGGAGAAGAAACGGGGCAAGCCGGAGACTTGTCCGTCCATCTTTGTCGCGCTGCGGGAAAATCAATTATTAGTCCACAACATTTTGTAGTCAGGATCCAGCTATCCACATCGTCGAACTTGCTCCACACGAAGTACCAGATAGATTCAAAAGAGATGGCTGCCAAGATGAAATGTTCCAAACATTCCTCTCCACATGATAATACCTGATTGAATTGTACTAGGTGCCAGGTATACCGTATACGGCAGGCAGGCATTGCTAGCATCACCTCTCCCCCCTTCTTCTTCATCTCAAATCCACCTTCTCTCCTTCACCGGCTATGGCAGTCCTAACAGTAACAGGACGAGCACAAATTACAGTATCACGCACCCACTGCTGCAGTAACGAATTCGAGCACAAATTTCGTGTGGAGAGAATGACAGATGCAGGTACAGTATACCTGGGGTAGGGGAACATGCCGAGGATGTGGCCCTTGGGCGTGTGGATGCCGACCTCCGGCCGGCCGTGGGCTCAAGACGCTGCTCCTCGCATTGCATCTGCCGTGGTTCCACCTCGGCCGGCCCTGTCCCGGCGTGCGGGTACCTCCTCCTCGCCTGCGCCTTCCGCGTGGCGGGAGGCATGCGGCGGCGGTGGGCGGCGGGCGATTGCGGGTGGCGCTCGCGTTGTTAAGGGCCATCGGTTTGGGGTGGGGAAGGGAGGAAGGGGAGTTTCACTTCGCGCGGCTGCTTCTCATCCCCGAGCGCAGAGCGGGCTGCCGGAGCCGGTGACCGGAGAGGAGAGGAGTGGATTTGGGAGGAAGACGGGTGGGGGTAAAGTAGTCATTTTCGTAGATATCTACTTACTCCTGTTTATTTATATTAATATTAGTATAAAGAAAAGCAAAAAAGATCCCTATCATTATAACAAGCAAAATACCATGTTGACTCTTTATTTTATCTTCTACTCCCTCTGTTCAATATGAAAGATATATAAACTAAAATAAGTGAACAAACACACTAAAACGTGGATATATACATTCAATTCCGAGAAAAAGTTAGTAAAAGACCTGCACATGGCAAAAAGAACGTTTCTTATGACAATTTTAGTGACGCGAGGATGGCAATTTTGACAAGTACGGCAATTTTCAGGCAAAAAACATTCATTTTTCCATGTGCACGTACCTGACGTTCGGTAGTTATCAGCGTCCTAAAATTATTGTTGCCGTTAACCTTCTTATAAGTATGTCACATGAATTCTTGCTTTGAAGAAGAGAGACTATGAGGTGGTTTGGAGCATGAAAAAAAACCCTGATTATTCATGTACGGAACTTCACAAATCTATATTTATGAGCATTCATAAAAAAACATCATGTTTCCTGATTCTCCAAAAATGTTTCTAAACTTTTTTACTCTCTCCGTTCCATATTATTTGTCGCTGATTTAGTACAACTTTCTTTTCGGTTTGTCCTTTCTTTGTCTCCCTTTCTTTTCGCTTTATCAAATATTCTATCACATTTTTTGCAATCTTTCATGATTTTTGAAAATTGATGTCCCCTTTTCAAAATACATTTTCCTTTTTCCGATAATATCTATTTTCTCTCTTTTCTATAGCTTTCGGTTTCATAACTAATACAACAACACATCATCAATCAAACCTCTTTGAGGCATAGGCAAGGGGGCAAATTGATCTGGTTTTGAAAATTGAGTGTCAACTTTGTCTCATTTTTTCACGGACCAAAAGTTAACCGAAAAATAATGCTTTGCTTTATTAAGTGGGCATAAGATTTTATGGGAGGAAAACACATTCATATATACAGTACCCTTTACAAAATTAACTAGTACAAGAATTTCGCCATACACACAGCTCAAGGTCAAAATAAAAATAATTCAACAAATATACAACAAAGAACAGTTGATTCTTTTTGTAGCCAATTATTGCCAGCAAATCATATCATTGTGGTCAAGCCTCAAGGTTTCTTCCAGTTTGTCAAATAGACAGGGTACAATGAAGAATGAACTTTACTTGTTACTACATTCTTAATAATAAAGAATCGGCGTGCTCTAACAGAGCAGAAATATTCATCAATCGTCATCACGGTGTTCAAGAAAAGCGTCTCTTATAGCAGAAAGTTTTGCACAAACATCTTTCATTCCAGGTAGTCCTGGCCATCTCAGGCCCGGCCCTGTGGGCCCACCCAGGCCCAGCCCTAAAATCCAGGGCCTAGGCCCGATGGGCTTGCCCGTGGGCCGGGCTTGGGCCTGAGTTTTGAGCCCACCAGCAGGGCCTGGATGGACTTGGGCTTGGCATATTGGCATTTTAAGAAAGAGGCCCGGCCCACGGCCCTAAGCCATAAGGGCTTTTCAGGGCTTTTTACCAGATGGGCCGGGCTTGGGCTTGAAAAGTAGGCCGGATGGTAGGGCCTGGGAGGGCTTGGGCCTCAGTTTTCTATCATGGGCTTTTTCAGGCCCGGCCTGGCCCATGGCCAGATATAATTCCATGTCTGTCCTTCGGAGATTTCACAGTACATGACAGCCCAAGAGCAACCAGGGGTACAATATATCTTTGCGTCCATACTTCTGCACACCCTTGATACTCCTCATGTCCCATACGAGGATCTAAAATCTCCGCGACTCTTTCAGGGAACATGGATTCAGAGAAAATGGGAAGGGTAAGTCCATCAACAAACATATCATCGGTTGGTCGTTTTCCGGTAAGCAATTCCAGTAGAAGCACACCAAAACTATATGCATCAGCTCCTACAGAGATCTCATAACCCGTCCAGTTCTCTGCGAAGAAGCAATGCTTTAGAATAATGCACAGACATTAAAGACAAAGTATAATTAAGTGGAAATGGAAAAGCAAAATTCACCAGGTGCCATGTATCCAACTGTTCCACCAACATCATCCAGGCTTTCAAGAATAAACATATCCGGCGACAAAAACTTTGCTGAGCCAAAATCACTGCCGTGCGGTCATGTCATCGTCCAAAAGGATGTTCTCTGGCTTCAAATCACAATGGATCAAAGGAGGCGTTAGTTGGTTGTGGACATAATCAAGAGCAGAAGCCACATCTGCCGCTATGCATATCCTCTTGCCAAAGTTTAGCACTCTGCCTGGGATTCCATTGTGTTGCTCAGAATGTAACCATCTGTCAAGGCTGCCATTAACCATGAACTTGAATATCAGCGCTTTGAACTCATGATTTTGTGAATCAAGTGTCGAGCATACGGTCACAGGACACATTATATTTCTATGGCGGGTGTTTCATAGCACTTCACACTCAATAAAGTAACTATCACTTCCGCTAGGTTCACTCAAGTTGAAAACTTTGATGGCAACCAATCTCCTGTCGGACTTGAACCTACCAACATAAACTGACCCAGTAGAGGTTGAGCTAATAGTATGAAGCAAAGAAAACCAGTTGGTAGCTTTAAGAATGTCCTGATATGACACCCTCTTCAGCTTCTTCTCATCGTTGCGCGGAACTGTATGCACTTCTTTTCTCTTGTGATGGGTAACAAAACGAAACATCTTCTTGGACACAACAGCCAATTGTAAAAATGAGAATACCGCTCTCTTCCAAAGAGTGGGTAGAAACCATAGCAAGACTACGAAAGCAATAGTAAGTGGTGGTAGTACAACTAGCAGCAAGGTTGCCAGCGAGGACATATGATGCTTTGTTTTATTTGCTGAAGCTGAGATGCCAGGACAAATTGGTAATGCCAGCCTGGAGAAATTCGAACAGAGTCCCTTGTTATTATCCAGAAGTACTGCGGTAGAATTCTCAAAGATCCCACTTGTAGGAACAGCCCCTTCCAAGTTGTTATAAGATACATCAAGCTGCTCCAGCATATGAAGGTGCTCAAAGAATTCAGGCACGGCACCGGATAAGTCATTGTGAGAAAGATTAACATGCACGGTTGATACTAACTGCCATCATGCACGGTTGATACTAACTGCCATCTTGCTGGAATTTGTCCATGAAACTTGTTTCCTTCCATGTGAAGGGATGTTGGACTAGCACCAGCACCAACTGTACCAAGTTCCAGTGGCAGTTCCCCAGTGAGATTGTCGTGTGAGAAGTCCAGACCGAGGGAGAATGGAGGGTTAGCAAAGAGTTCGACTAGTATTGACCCATTAAGGCTGTTTCGAGACAAGTTTAGTTCAAGAAGTCCCTTGCACTGACCTAAACTACCAGGTACGTTACCAGTCAACTTGTTATCACTAAGATAAAGGTTGCCCAGTTGAGTAATGTCACCAACTGAAGAAGGTATCTGACCTGATAATTTATTCTTTGATAGATTTAGGATATATAGGTTTTGCAGCTTACCAATGGTAGAGGGTATGCTTCCAGAAAGAAAATTGCTTTCCATCATAAGTGAAGTGAGATTAACAAGATTGCTGATCTCAACAGGTATGGAGCCCGAAATTCTGTTTGACGCAAGTGATAAATCTTCTAGCATTGTGGAAAGATTAACAACTGCTACAGGTAAGCTGCCATTCAGAGCATTCCCTTCCAAGGACAACGCTAGATTAACACTGTACCAAGTTCCAGTGGCAGTTCCCCAGTGAGATTGTTGTGTGAGAAGTCCAGATTGAGGGAGAATGGAGGGTTAGCAAAGAGTTCGACTAGTATTGACCCATTAAGGCTGTTTCGAGACAAGTTTAGTTCAAGAAGTCCCTTGCACTGACCTAAACTACCAGGTATGTTACCAGTCAACTTGTTATCACTAAGATAAAGCTTGCCCAGTTGAGTAATCTCACCAACTGAAGAAGGTATCTGACCTGATAATTTGTTCTTTGATAGATTTAGGATATATAGGTTTTGTAGCTTACCAATGGTAGAGGGTATGCTTCCAGAAAGAAAATTGCTTTCCATCATAAGTGAAGTGAGATTAACAAGATTGCTGATCTCAACAGGTATGGAGCCCGAAATTCTGTTTGACGCAAGTGATAAATCTTCTAGCGTTGTGGAAATATTAACAACTGCTACAGGTAAGCTGCCATTCAGAGCATTCCCTTCCAAGGACAACTTTGTCAGCTGGGAGCAATTTGCTAGAGATGTAAGAAATGACCAGTCATGTGCTTCTAGCAAGTTCCCCCCTAAAACTAACTGACGCAAGTTTGCCAACGAACCAAGAGATGGCACAGAGCCATGTAACAAGTACTTCTTCTTCGGTACAACCCCCCTAAAGGGTAGGATGGTCCTTTTATTAAATAAGTACATCACCCCTATTGTACACGACGCAGTAAACTGGGCCAGCCCATCAACGATCTATCTCAAGTGGTTTGAAAGAGCGAAAAATAACACAAAATTTTAGCCTACGGCAGGAATCGAACATGGACCTCCCGCGAACAAACCAACGAGCAAAACCACTACGATGAGCCAGCTTTCTTGCCTAACTAACAGCGCGGAGGTTTAAGAACTATGAGCAGCGACATATTTGAACATTTTTGTGGAAATTTGAACGTGACCTCTTTTTAAACGCGGATATTTTTCAAAATTGGAAAGAAAACTATGAAAGTGGAAACAAAATTTCCCAAACGTGGAACACATTTTTAAACTCCGAACAATTTTTTTATAAAATGTGATTTTAGAATTCCGAATTTCTTTTGGAAACAACAACAATTTTGAAACTCTAAAGCTTTTTTAAATCCGGCCATTTTTCATATTTTTGAAATTTTTCAAAAAATAAAAATAAATATGTTGAACATTTTTTGAGCTTTGCGATTTTGAAAATGAAAAAGAAAACAATTCATGAACCTTCTTAAACACTCCCAAACCGGTAAAAACTGGCCTAGAACAATCTAGAGGTTCCCAAAACCGGCATCTACGGAGGCAACAAACAGATTAAATGGGTTGACGCATGTTCACTCGTAAGAATTGCGTATGTGGGAAATAACGACTGTTTGACGTAATAAGGGTCAAATAGGGTTTCCCCCCGATTGATGATGTCGCCTAGTTAGGCCAACACCTAAACAGTTTTTCTCTATTTTATTTTATTTTCACTTTTTTGATAATTCATTTTTCCTTTTCAAACTTTATTGTTCTTTTTGAAACTTGTTCAAAAATTTGGATTTTTTTGGAATACCCTAAATGTTCTTGTTTTCAAATATTTTTAGAATTTTAAAATATTCTGGAATTCAAAAGAAATCACGCTTTCGAATATATTGTTCATTGATTAAAGAAATATTTGTGCTTCAAAAAAAGTTGATAATTTCTTAAAATAGAACATTTTTCCAATTTTTGTTCAAAATTTTCATCAATTGTTGGAAATTTGTTACCAATTTTGGAAAAGGTGTTCAAACTTGTCAAATTTTCATGCGCAATTTATCGGTTTTTTTCATCGAGAAAACTCCAGAAAATGCAAAATCTGTTGGAAGCTCAATCAACTTGACATAGTGCCTTGAATTGACCATATAAGCTCATGGAATAAATTTGGGTCATGTGAGAGATGCCGAAAACAAGGTGGTCTCAAACGTACCCTTCTCACCTACGCAAACACTCTCTGTTGAATATGGTCTATTTTTAGACATGCATAAAGATTGTGGTGCCACCGCCGTTGGCGAGAGGGCGGCGGCGACACCAAGCAGCCGACAGGCTTCATCCCGAGTCCTCCTTCTTCCACCCCGTTGCAGAAGTCTTAATCATTACGTCCCTACTTCCTCCAGAACATAGACGATTCTACCTCAACGGAAAAGGTAGACGTGTCAGAGTGGTTCCAACGCATAATGTAGGAATCTCATCATATTTACCGCGCTTCGGCGCCGAGGTGGACGGTGGCCATTGGATATGGAGAGGAGGACAAGGGGAAGGATGTGCCCAAGTGTGAATGCCACAAAATTAGAACATATGACCTTTTGGGAGAGGGGGGGGGGTGCAAAAAGTTGTCACATCAAAGTAGTCAACCTCCCACCCGGATGCAAGTCAAAACTGATGCAACGTGGAATGGGTAGGACTGCGAGCAACACATGTGGCAAACTTTTAGGACCCATATATGAATTTACATAGTATTCAGACTAATATGACACACACCAAATATTTTTTAGACTTATGGTGTATTTTTACTCTTAAAACAATGTTGCCATTTACAAAAAAAATCACAATTTTCAAAAAGTTCTAGATTACAAAGTTTTCTCACAAATTCAAAAAGTAAACTAATTTGCAAAATTTATTCACATATTCAAAAAATGTCCGTGGAGTTTCAAATAACGTTTGGACTTTCAAAATTTGTTTGGAATTAAACAAATATTGCTGCGTTCAATTTTTTGTTCACAAATTCAGAAAAGTGTTCGATGAAATCCAATAAACCTTTTTGGTTTCAATTTTTTGTTCGACTTGTTGAAAAAATGTTTGAAAATTCCAATTGTTGTTCGTGTTTTCCAAAAATTATTGGTTTTAAAAATGTTGTTCGTACTTTTAAAAAACTGTTCATGTCTTATCATTCTGAACAATCTTTTAAGGACACGAACATTTTTCAAAAATTCATTTACTTTTTCTGAAAATGTGATTTATTTTTTCAATTTATGAACAAAATTGGAAAAAACGAACATTTTATGAAATTTTGAACAAAATTAAAAGCATTAAAATTTTGTTAAAATAAAAAAAATTGAAAT